TGGTCGGACTCATTTGGAAGCAAAGAAGTGGACACTCTGTGAGGCTCCAAGACTATATATACCAAATACACATATATGGTTGCAAAGTTTCCTACACCTGGAAGATTCCCAAGACAAAAGGCAAGATCAAAACAAAACGTTACTGTCAGGCAGCCAGACAGACAGACAGAAAGACAAACAAACAACAAGCAAACAAACGCACAAACAGACAGGCAAACAGGCACACAAACAGACAGGCACAAGCACACACACTCAGGATCAAAGTAAGTACAAATACGTACTGCCAACGGCGCTCCACCAAAGAGCAAATGAAGGACCACCTCGGTCCACAGGCGCCTAAGTGCCTTTTCCTCCAAGGCTCAGTGCTCGAGCCCCACCACTACGGTAGGGATAGGTTCAAACCAAAGGAAAAGGTCAACATGTCATGACCACATGAGCCTCGCGCTCACATCGGTACACCATCCTGACCTTTTGTCAGTTGAACGGTGGGTATACCGGCACGGGCTCATCCAAATCCCATGGCCAAGTATGCTTGGCCGCAAGTCCTCTCAGGGTGCCCACGAAGTTGGCCTGCATCTCGCGCCATTTCTTCTCCAGGGCCCGCTTGTGCACTTTTCTTCCGGCTTCAAACTTGTCATCGTGCACCAATCTCCAGAATTGCTTCTGCGAGAAGAACTGGAGGATCGTCTTGCGAGCTCCGAACTTGGCCAGGGAGTCTCCAAGCTGCGCCATGCCATTCACCCACCGCTGACTCGGCGCCAGCTCAAACCGCTTGGTTCACCGCCAAGGTGAGCTCGTAGCCAGCCCGCGAATCCCTCCATCCGTGCAAGGATGAAAGGTTTCGCGTCATGGCATCTTAGATGCTGCGGGAGTCCATGACCACCGCACCGGCCACTGCCTGCACAGCATCGCAGCTTGTCCCGATGAACCTTGGTCCCGGCGAACTCTGAGAGCAAGAGCCGGATCTGGTAGTTCTGATCCTCCCCCATGGTGATCGCTTGGACCTCTGCACCGTTCGATCCCGAACATTGGCGCGGAGTTTTGCCGTTCTTCCGTTGCACCAAGGCCACTTGAACTTCTTCTCCAACAAGTGCCTGGTGGAGAGCCACTCCAGAGAGGATGCCAACTGCGCTGCTCCGATGTGGACGGTTACGCTGTGAAGCATCTGCCCATCATGTGATCACTGCCAGGTCATACACAGACTTGATGTTCCAAGTCGATGGAAAAAGAAGTCCTTGTCCACTCTCGCGCTTCATCTCTCTGATGAGGCGGTTGACCTTGTAGAGGGTCTCGACGGTGGGCTGATCTCGCTTAGCAACAAGGAAGGCTCCGCGAGATATTCCAGCTCACTGTGCCAAGAGCTCCTCTCATGGCTGAAATCTCAACTGGTGAGAGGTGTCTTTCGAGCCTTCTCTTTGTCAATCTCTACCTCCTCAAGCCATCGCTTGGAATATTTCTCCTGATTCAAGATGACGCTCTTGTCCTCCATCTGGCGGATGTTGCAGCCAGCGAACTCAAATTCATTCTCCTCCCATTTGCCCCATCTGAAAGCTTCTGCCAGCGCCTTCTCTCGGGACAGGTAGTGCTCAGAGTTCAGATTGCCAGCCAACAAAAAGTCGTCCACATGAATTCCTGCCAGCCCATGGATCGAAGATGAGCCATCATCGTTCACCTGCAGGAGCACAAAGCAACATTTGCCGCCAAGAAGCTGAGTCCATCCAGTGTCCTGCGTCACCTGAACACATCGCTCATACCACTTCCTTAGCGCGTGTGCCAAGCCTTAGAGAGCCTCACGAACACGAAGTGCCCGTTTTTCACCAGGATCTGCACCGAACATGGCCGCCAGCTCAGGCGGCGCCATCACATTCAGCTCCTCGTCCTCCAAGCTTATACCAGTCTGCAAAAAAAGCGCTTGTGACATCACCGGCCTTGAGCTTGAGCTTCAGGGCTGCAGCTAACGTCAAAATGATGCGGTGAAGCTGTGGCCACTTCTGTCAAATTGCGCTATAGGCGGGCCTTTGCCGTCCTGTCGCCACTCCTCGTGAGGGTCGTTGTTCTCCTTGGCAGTGAGAATCCTCAATGCTTCGCTGATGGCAACTTGGGACAACTCTTTGGCCATGGCCAAATCAAATTCCTTCTTCTCCGCGCCATGGACAGTGTGCGCCACTCCACTTCAGTGCCCTTTGCTGACATCTTCTTGCTCAACCAGATCGTGCCACGTCGTCGATCTTTGTTCTTGGACAACCACTCAAAGTCATTCTCATCCACGCCGAAGGCGAAGATGATGAACTGCTCGATGGTTCACCACCATCGTCTGCCTCCACTGGCGCCTTCTTGCCCTTGTAGAGATCATACATGAAAGTCTGGCCATCTCTGTCTTGGTGATGCCCATCATGTCTTTCGGGAGATCGCACTCTGGTACAGGGCATCCATTGGCTGTGGACTCGCCTCGAAGAGGAGTCCCATCCAAGACATTCGGACCCACAGTCGTTAGAGCTTCATTCAGGTCAGTTGCCATAGAGCTCGGTTGTGAGGGACCAGGTCGATCTGATGGCTCTTCAATCTCCTCCTCAGCCTTCCGCTTCTCGCCCTTCTCTCTTCTGACACGCAGTCTCTTTGGAGCGCGCTGCGTCTCAGAAACCAATTCAAAGAAAGTCTCACCAGTCCAGCGGTCCTGCAAAGTCTTCTGCTGGTCCACCGTGTCTTCAATTGTCACTTCATCGCCACCAGCAACCGGTCGAATGACCGTCGTGCGATCTCCAGTGAGTTCCTCCAAGTCCACAGGGCAGGACGTCGCTCTTGAGGGATTAAAAATAATGCAAGTCGAGGAAGTTCGTGGGACCAGAAATTTTTGTTGTTATGTTTCTCTCGCAAAGTCCAGGTGTCATTGCCAGAGCATTCAGGTCCAGGTTCTTGATGGATAGTGGCTGGTCCAAGATCATGAGCTTGTTGCACCTCACTCGAAACATCACCAGATAATATCGTCCTTGAAATGACTTTAAGATAAATGGTCGCGCCCTCAAGTGTGGCATCCAACTGCGCGCTGAGAGACTGGCCGAATTTGGTTCAGTTTGGCCCTTATCAACGTAGCGCCAGAAACGAGTGAAGGACCAGTGGTCTTTGACTTTACCAGGTCTTTCTGTCTCCATACCATCATCAGTTGACCAGGCTTGTAGGAGCTTGCCTTTCTGCCCACAGCGTTTGCCAGCTTGCTGAATCTCTCGCCGGCTCGCTCTCTCTCTCTCTCTCTCTCTCGAAGGCGATCTTGGCTTTCTCACGCTCCTTCACAAGGTTGTCAAAGGCCTTTCGAGGCTCAATGCCTTTCAGCAAAAGTTGGTCGTGAAGGACTCCACCACCATGTCCAAAGGCCCATTGATAGGCGGCTGAAGCCACTGGGTCCCACATGACTGTTGGCTGCAGCATCTGCCAACTCGAAAAGTTGCGCCACTTCAAGACGGTGACTTTCTCGCTGTAGTCGATCTACCGTCTTCTTCAAGATGCCCATGGCGCTCTCCTCAGGTCCTCAGGGCCCATGATCCAGTGAGCTTCTGCTGGGGCAGTCGCTAGACCAACACCAGATCTGTTCAGGTAGGTCATAAACTCAGAGCTTATGTAGTAGCGAGCTGCATCAGAGAGGATCCACTTAGGTTGAGGGTATGTCATCAGCCACTTCGTCAAACTCTCGATGATGTTCTGGCTTTTCGGCTCCCACGCTCCACTTTCATAGCGAGCTAGATGATCCACCATAGTGAGTCCAGTTGCCCGATCGCGCCGCAAGAGCATCTTGTGTTCGACGCCGTTCTTCTCCTCATACTCCTTTAAAGACATCAGTGCCAATCTGCTCAAAAGGATTCGGGGTCTCATTGGTTCCGGCAGGAGGTCGAGGACGAGGCTTCGATGCCTCTTTGCGCCAATGCCCAGCCCGGTGATCCTCGCGCCTTCAGAAGTTGAACCAAATTGGACATCCCTGCGTGGCCACTTGCTCGATGAACTCGAAGCATCTATTGTTTCACTGCTTCTAGGCGTTTGCCTTTTGGAGCCTCCTCAGCGTCAATTCGCTTCCGACTCAGTGCCAGGATCTGCTGTTCTTGTACATGTCGGTGCGCATCATCCACCACTCCAGAAAGTTCAGATTGACGGACATCATCAAGTAGCGCTGCCATCGTAGATACAGGACGTTGCTCGTCAGGAAGTCGACGATGTAGTCCACGTTCAGGATGCGCTTCTCCACGTCTTTCTTCAGAGAGCTGGTCTGTTGTTGCCACGCATGCTTCATGCCTTTAAATTTCAGCATCTCCTTGCGCATCCGCAGTGGGTAGTAGGAGGAAGCTTGTGCAGCCATGCCCCTACACTCAGCGCGCTCATGGGATCTGTCGCACCTCTTGTTCAATGTCAACCATAGTTCTCGGCTGGATGTCAGGATTGCCCAACTTCCTCTTCTCATGACTGGAGCTTCCTTATTCAATTGGCCGTATTTCGAGAAGCTGGTTCAGGTAAGTAGCGAGGAGAAAGGACACTTCGGATAACGGCCCCGAAGGGTCCCAAGTGCCGCCTGGCGTGACCTCAGATGTAAATTGGTGGAGTCATTGCTCGACACACTGGTCTGGGCTGTTGGAAAGTTCGGCCAATTGTCATCGACAATGGACAGGTTGACGAGCTTGGCAGGCGAGATCGGCGCTAGCAATAGCGAAATGAGCAGCCGTGTGGAGGGCCAAGCTTTGGCTCTCAGCAGAATGTCGGACGCGCCTTTCTCATTGGAGTGCCCAGGCCTGCCACTGAAGTCCATAGGCACAGCCGTCGATCCGAATCGAGTAAGGACCTCGTCCATAGCCTTGTCAGACGATCGATGGCTCTACAGCGGCAGCTGTTGTCGGCCACTCCCACGCGATGTCGCCACCTG